CGTTTGCGCATGCGCAGTAATCCTACGCATGCGCAAACACATTATGGCTGCCATTTTGGGGACCAAAATGACGGCCAAACTGGGCGGCGGCAGCGGCGACGGCGGCAGGGGTCCGCCTGGGCCCGTAAGTCCGCCGACCTGGGCCGGAAACGGCCTGCGGGCCGTAGGTTGCCGACCCCTGTACTAACCTATAATCATTTTCCAAAAGTGGCTACCTCACTCTACCGAATGGCAGAATTAGGTGGCATCTATACCGCAGAAATAATGCAGTTTGACACTGCTTCAACTGCCATGGCTCAGTGCTATGGAATTCTAGGATTTGTAGTTTTGTGAGATATTCAGTCTTTTCTATCAGAGAGCTTTGGTGATACAACAAACTACAAATTCCAGGATTCTGTAGAATTGAACCATGGCAATTGAAGCAGTGTCAAACTGCCATTAATTCTGCAGTGTGGTAGCAGTCCTCGTACGCTCCTTACAGCAAGGAATATGACTGGAAGGTCATCTTATTTGCTGTACAATTTTGTTACTATAACCGCCATGCTGACCAGGGCTGATAGAAGTCCAAAAACATCAGGAACATTGCCCCCCTGAAATAACCCTAGTGGAATGACTAATTTGTTTATGCTTCAGATCCTGAATTTCATCTACTTTTTCTTTTCTGCCTGAGCAGGATTTTTAGTGGCCAAACCCAGTTTGATCTTCCAGTTTGAACAAGAGGAAGACCCATGGATTCCAGATCAGTCAGTCATGGTGGAAAAGGAGGTTCTACCAGGGCCTGACTCAGGTAAGAGAAGGAATCTGGTCAATATGGAGCCAATATGGAGCACCACATTTGAAAAATTACCTATGAGACAAGCTGGAGCGTGTCCAGAGGAAGGTGACTAAAATGGTGAAGGGTCTGGAAACCAGGCCCTATGGGGAATGACTTAAGAGCTGGGTATGTTTAGAATTGAGAAGAGAAAGTTAAGAGGTGATATGATAGCCTTGTTTAAATGTTTGAAGGGGTGTCATATTAAGGATGGAGCAAGCTTTTTTCTGCCGCTCCAGAGACTAGGGACGTTATCACACGTGGGCCAGAAAGCGAAAATAAAAGTGGAAATGAGGCATTCCGAAAATAAACCGAAAATAAACTTGTTTCCGCAAACATCATTACCTTCATTGCAAATTTACAGCAAGTGCAATGAACATCCACACACAAGCGAAAATATCCCATAAATGTAGTAGAAATGAGCCTCTTGCACATGCGCAGATAGAGGAATGCTCATGGGAACCATGGGTAATGACGGGGAAATGCTCCCCAATATGTATTTGGCGATCACATTTGCGGTAAATGCAGAATCACCCTCATCGCGCAATTGCATTTCCTCAAGAAACCGAAAGTCAAAAAATCTCGGATCTTTCCACTTTCTGTTGGGGTTCTGTCGGGGTTCTGTGCGACGTCGTGTGAAAACACGGGCCGATAATCCGGTATCGTTCGGGATTTTGTGTGGATTTTGTTTGGATTGGGCCCCATGTGATAACGTCCTAGGACCCAGAGCAATGGATTCAAACTACAGGAAAAGAGATTCCACTTAAACATTAGGAAGAACTTCCTGACAGTAAGAGCTGTTCAACAGTGGAATGAACTCCCTCGGAGAGTGGTGATGTCTCCTTCTTCAGAAGTTTTTAAAAAGAGGTTGGATGGCCATCTGCCCAGAGTGCTTTGATTGTGTATTTCTGTATGGCAGGGGGTTGAACTGAATGGCCCTTGAGGTCTCTTCCAACTCTATGATTCTGTGAATTAAATAGTGGTGAAGTTTCTCTCTTCCTCTCTCCTGCATGATCCTATGTGCTATCTAACCATCTTCTCCTTATGCTTCTCCGTTGAACAGAATTTCCTGATGTGATCATAAAAGTGGAGCAAGAAGAGGAACCATGGGTCCAGGGTCACCAGAGGTGTGCAGACAATTGGATCTTCCCAGGCACCAGCTCAGGTAAGGGGTAACACTTGAGGCCCAAAGGATGGTAGCATAACCTATTTGTTTAGCAATTCACTTTCTCATATTATACCCTGATGTTTTTCATGTAATTCAAGGCAGCTTACTCACCCATCTACAAAGCCAACAGTAAGAAAGAAAATATAATATGATAAAATAGAGATAGATGAGAAAGAATGAATAACCATGGAGTACCAACAAACAGTAAAAAAATATACTAATAGACATCATAGACTAATGGAGAGAAGAGGAGTTATTAAACAAAACCCGGCAACAAGTATGATGGTCACATATTATTATGGATGGCGAGCGATAAAATCCAACCTCTTATAGCCAACACCCTACAGGGTGATTGGAAGGAGTGGATTTTGCTATATTTAGGGAGTTGCCTTGAATTAAACCAGGTTACAGTAGCTGTCTATGACAGGGGTAGCCAAAGTGTGGCCTGTAGGTTCATACAGGCCTTGTGGACCCTGTAGCTCCTGAAGCCTCCCAAACTAAATAAAATAATAAAAAAATCAGGGAGATTATCAGCCATTTTTTTGCCCTAAACCTACCCTGAATCTGCCAAAAACACAAAGGCCGCTGACTAAAAGAAAAATTGTTTGATTTTTTGGGGGCATTTTTTTTCCAGGCAATTTTTTTGTCCCAAAGCCATAACAATTTTTGTCCGAAACCATAGCAGTTTGTTTCTCCTGGCCCTCCAAAGCCACCTAAAACTTCCCAAATCACAAAATAAACCTTAAAAACCAGCAAAAACAGCAGCGGGAAGTGACATCGCACTACTTTGGGCATGCAGGAGTATCCCGCCAAGCAAGCACAGAGTGGAAAAAATGGCTTGTATCCCCTGTGCAGATGCCCAATGCTACTCTATGGGGTTATCAGTTGAGCTGATAAGTAGCTTGGAGTTTTCCTGGCTTTGTGGAGCATGACCCAATATGAGTTAGCTTTAATAGTTTTGAACCAGAAGGGTTTCCCCCCCATTTCAATATAGAGAAGGAGCTTGGCCTGATCCACTGACATGGTAACCAATTTCTAACAAAAATATCTGTCATTATCTATCACTAAGTACCTTATCTTTCCTCTTTGAGCAGAATTTCCTATTCTTAGTCCTGGTGTGAACTCCCAGCTAGAAAAGCAGGAAGAATCGTGGATTCAGAATCAGTTGAAGGAAGGTGAGGGCTTAATGATTCAAATTATAACTATTATTGGACAAAACTCTTATTTATTGATTTAATTTATATCCTGCTTTTCTCCCTATATGGGACCCAAGGTAGTTCACAAGATGAATTAATACAAAATACAATAAAAACAATAGACATTGAAGACATTTAAAACAACAACAACAGTTTGACATTTTAAATCTTTAAATTAAAACAGTTTTTAAAAGGCCATTCAAATATAGTAATAATGATTAAAAATACAATAAAGCACACCCCAATTAAAAGACTTTATGCAACAAAGAATCTTGAGATTTTGATTACAGGTGTTACCGAGGTTTTAATTGGTATATATGATAAATAGAGAAGATGAAAGGGAAAGAGAGTATGTTGATTTAACTTGATACATGGTAACGATGGCAAGAATAGTATTTCTTAGATACTGGAAAAAAGGATAAGTTACCAGATTCTATGGAATGGATAGAGAAATTGTTGAAAATCATGGAAATTCATAAATTAACCAATTTAATTAGAAAGAATACACTGGAAGTCTTATGTGAGGACCTTTTATAGACTATATAAAACAACAAGGAGGGATTATTATTTTAGGTTTT